TTCTGCTCACTTTTCAGAGTTGCAACTTCCTTCGAGCATAGCTTTCTCTTCACTTCGCTGTCGCCTTCCAGATCATGCTTCTGGGGCCTCAGTTTCTGTATCTAAAATGGTTCCAAATGTGGACTATACAGACAGCCATCTGTTAAATCATAATTTTTTGTCTCTACACAAGCATTAGCATCTTCCTGTGTGTTTTTTTTTCTTTTCTGTTTTTGGGGTTTTGGTTTTTTTTTGGACCTATTTTTGATGCTTCTCTTCTCCCTTACTCCTTATATCCAAGTCATTTGCTGACTGTTTTCTCAACTTTTTTTTTTCACTTCACGTGAGCTGAGTCTTAACTAGTAGATATTCAGCATCATCTGCTCTGTCTCTGGCACGTCTTCCTTGGTCTTCCACTTACTGACTCTTGGCCAGTCACCAGCTTATCTAAGAGAAAATGGCAGAAAAGAGAGAAGCTCCAACTGAAATTGGCTTAGCCCTCCCTTCCTCTCTGGGAGAGCAGGTTGAAATCTCTGATTAAAATGGGACAGCAAGCCTTTCCCTGTTCGTCACTTCCAGGTCATCTGTGGCAGACAGAGCCTTAAGTGGCCCCCACAATCCCCACCTTTCGGTTCTCACGCCCTTGTATAATCCCCTCCCCTTGACCATGGGTGTGTCCTGTGACTTATTTCTGACTAAAATGGCAAAGGGGTTGGAGTGTCACTCTCTTTTTTTTTTAAGTATATTTTATTGATTTTTCACAGAGAGGAAGGGAGAGAGATAGAGAGTCAGAAACATCGATGAGAGAGAAACATCGATCAGCCGCCTCCTGCACATCTCCCAGTGGGGATGTGCCCGCAACCCAGGTACATGGCCTTGACCGGAATCGGAACCCAGGTACATGCCCTTGACCGGAATCGAACCTGGGACCTTTCAGTCCGCAGGCCGACGCTCTATCCACTGAGCCAAACCGGTTTCGGCAAGTGTCACTCTCTTAATTAGGCTACGCTACATGGCGAAGGTTATCTATAATAATAAAAGCATAATGTGCTAATTAGACCAGACGTCCTTCCGGATGACCTTCCGGATGAAGCTGGGGCTGCGAGGGAAGCCCGATTCCTGGGTGCCTGCCAGTGGCTGAAGGGAAGCCCGGGTCCCGGTGCCAGAGGGAAGGCAGTGCCGGCAGCCGGGGAAAGGAAGGCCTACTCTTGCACTAATTTCATCCATCGGGCCTCTAGTGTTATATAAGATAGGACTGCATGTTCTCCCCTTCCGCCCCCCGTGGACAGCTTCAGACCACGCTGGAGCACCACCCAATCACCTCCACCAGAGACACACTCCAGGGGTGGGCCTCACTGGGCACCAGAGCCCCACTGAAGTGAGTCCTATTCTGCAGGGTCAGCCCCTGGCAAGTAGTTGTTCAACTATTTTATGTTCTTAAGTTTGTAAAAATGATATACAACCCTGGGTATGCCCATAGGAACATGTCATGCTTTGGGGTGAAGGAAAACATTTAAGATGAATTAAACGATTCTAAGGTGTCTTCCAAATCTAATAGTCTATACATCAGTGCACCAAATCCTGTCTAAACACTGTGCAGGTTTGCAGGAACCAACCCAAATGCCATTCTGAACCCCTCTTGCTTGTTAACACAACTCCAAATGTGGTCGGGTACTGGACACAGATCTTCTGACATCAGGGAAGGTGGACCCAACCCCTGGTCTAAGATGCACATATAACTCAGTTTTGGCCAATTAGAAGCAAGGGGAGAGGGGCAGTCTGCTAGCGGGTTTCGGAGAAAGATTTTCTTCCCTCATAAAAGGGGAAGAAGTACAAAAAGAGAGGCATCTCCTTTCACTGCCCTGAATGTGGATGTGATATATAAAAATACGAGGCTTAGCCCGGCCCGTGTGGCTCAGTAGTTGAGCGTCAACCTATGAACCAGGAGATCATGGTTTGATTCCCAGTCAGGGCACATGCCCAGGGTTTCGGGCACGATCCCCAGTGTGGGGTATGCAGGAGGCAACCAATCAGTGATTCTCTCTCATCATTGATATTTCTATCTCTCTCTCCCTCTCCCTTCCTTTCTGAAAACAATAAAAAATATATTATTTTTAAAAAATATATGAGGCTTAGATCAATAGCAGCCACTTTGCAATCACAAGGGGAAAGAGCAAGAGAATCACACACACCAGCCTCAAGCCCTACTAATGTGGCCCTGCCAACCTGAAGACTCATGTGAGATAATTAAATGTCCTCCAAGTTTAAGGATCTGTCAGTCATACTCTTTTACGTGCAGCTGAAAACGGATCCATCGGAGGAATGCAGAGATGAGTATGACATGATCCTGGCACTCGAGGGGCTTACTGTTTAGTGGGGCAGAGGAGTGTGTACACAGCGAGGCACTCAGGAATGAATTAAGCACTCAGCATCCCATCCTGGGAGTGGCAAGCCCAGCTGCAGTCACCAGATTGCACATCTGCATTTCCAGAGAGTCTGTAGGGGGACACCTGCCCACATATAGACAGCACCCGGCCAGCTGGGTGAAGCTGGGAGGAGCGGAACAGCAGACTCACCTGCTGGGCCACAGCACCTCGGAGGCCCTGCAGCACATCCAGCATCTGGAAGATGTCAAAGGCACGCACCACCTGGATCCTCTGGAGGGCTCCTGCCTGAAGGGGTGGGAAAGAGGAGGGGGGCTTTGGGTAAGAGGGAGCAGGGTCCAGCAAGACGAAAAGGGGTTTTAAGGCTGAGCAGGACGTCAAGTACGCTTTGTCTAACGGGGCAGTTCTCACAGTGGTGGCTGCCTGGGTGCTGAGC